ATTTGATGTATTTTGATCTTTTTTTTATAAGTATCCAAAAATTGTAGAATATTGCTTAATATTATATCCAAAAAATTGTAGGATATTGCTTAATATTATATCCAAAAAAAAATTGTAGTATATTGCTAAGAAAATGAAGAAAGACAGAAGAGAGTTTATAAGAAGATTTTTGTATTGGTTTGGAAGATTGCTTACACTTGTTTGGTTGAGTTACAAATGAAGAGTCCGGAGCCAAAAGGGCAAGAAAATTTGTCGAAAATTTCAAAAAGGCAACAAAATTCAACTAAGAACCAAAAGGGCAACATTTTAACGTCCAAATTAACGCCGTTGAAATTAGGTCAAATTGGATAAGGCTCAAAATTTCATGCGTCTGGTAAGGCGCAGCGCTGTCAGCGTCTTGTAAGACGCACGGCGGCTGCGCCTTACAAGGCGCAAGGCTTTGAGCCTTCCCTTCAAATTTTTTAAAAAAAAGTTTTTTCAGTTTTCCACGTTTTGGCTTCCCTTAAATTTAAAAAAAAAAAAAAAAAATTTCAGTTTTTCATTTTTTGCCTTCCCTTAATTATAAAAAAAAAAAGTTTTTTCAGTTTTTCTCTTGAAACAATAAAATATTTTATATTTTATGTTTTTAATATTAATTCACTCACAAATTAAATAAATAATAAATTTGTTTCAAACTTGCATGCAAAGACATACAATTTTTTGTTTAGCAATTTAAGTAATTTTTATGGCATTCTTTAGCCATATATGCAACTTATACGAATGAATAGGAGCACAATCTTCAATTGGCACCCATCATTTTGTTTCCTTCTTCTTCAAAGCTTAGTTATATTAATTAATTAATGATGAAGAAATTAAAGCAACATTGGGTTATATTTATACTAAGAATTCAATGAATTAGAAATTTATTAATGGTCACTTATCACTTATCTTGCTCAATCGGCACGCCCCGTAATTAATTATATTTCCTCCGTTTTAATTTATTTGATTTTTTAAAATTTGTTTAAGAAAGGAACATAGTATAGGACCACAATGTTTATATGCATTTGTGATGTACACTAAATAAAATAATTTTTTGTAGTTCAAATTATAGAATAACCAATATATCTTGTGATGGGAGTGAATCTCAAACAAAAGATGAAATGTTTTTGTCAAGTATAATTTTAATACTTGACTAAAATCACTAAGAGTAATAAAAAACAAGTCACTTGCAAACTTGCAAAAAATGAAAAACTGAAAAAACTTTTTTTTTTTTAATTTAAGGGAAGGCTCAAATTCACAAGGCGCAGCCGTCCTGCGTCTTGTAAGACGCTGACAACGCTGCGCCTTACAAGGCGCATGAAATTTTGAGTCTTACCCTATTTGATCTAATTCCAACAATGTTAATTTGGGCGTTAAAATGGTGTCTTTTTGGTTCTTAACTAAATTTTGTTGCCCTTTTGAAACTTTTAGCAAATTTTCTTCATGTCCTTTTGATTCCGGACTATACAAATGAATGTCCTATATTTAGTTTACACATCTAGGGGCTAAAATGTAAAATAAAAAGTATTACACACAAGTCCCTACATATTTATAAATTGATCCTTCTTCTAGAATTTTCTACAAGCCGAGAGAATTCTAAAGTCTTCCAAGAAATCTTCTAGGGTATTCTAGAGTCTTCTCCAAACCTCTTCAAGACTTTAGATTCTTCTCACTAAGGCTAGCTCGCTTATGCTTTAATTTTATGCCTAAATGGTATGATAAAATGGCGGATCATAACAGTAAGCTTGATTTTGATAGTCACCTCCAAGAAACTTTAACCGACGATTTGAAAATAGATTTGACTCGTTCATTATTTCAATACACTTTAAAAAAATTAGTTTGCAGATAATTTTTAGGGTGAATTTTTTGTGCATTCCTAAAGTGTCCTTTGGATCCAAAACTAAGGACATTAAATTTTTCTAATCTTATTTATTACATATTTTTATTTTGAAGAAAATAAAAGAGAAATTACTTTTCTTATCCTAGCCAAAGTCATGATTAGGGGTGTTTACAATTGGATTAAAATTGATTCAAATTAAAAATTGAAAATTGAACAAAATAAATCAAATTTTATTTGGTTAATATTTAAGTTTTAAAAGATTAGTAATATTTGGTTGGTTTCATTAAAACAAACCAAATAAGAAAACCGAACTTAATTGATACGTTATATACATAAAATTTGAATTATTTATAGACAGTATATTATTATTATTTTTATAAATAATTCGAAGTACTTTGTATTATTTTTTCGTGAAAATTTTATTTATCTACTTTACACCTTAAGCTCAATTATTATTTGAAAAAAAAAATCTCTTCATAATCTAAGAAAATTATAACCACCAGAATAAAGTGGGGGGGTTAATTGTAGTAGAAAAAATTAAAGAAAGAAATAGCATAGCATCATATTTTTTAAATATAAAAAATATTGAATCAAATCAAATCAAATCAAACTGATGAATATAAATTATATGTAATTTAACTTAATTTTAATAATTTTAATTTTTTACTAAATTAGTTTAATTTTACTCAAATCGACTTATGAACACTCATTGGACATAACACTTGAGTTATACTCCTTCGATTTGATTAGAAATGCTGCAAGTATTTAGGTAAAATTCAAAATGCATAACACTATTTATATTTCTCCCACACAAGGGTAGGTGATTAATTTTTAAATGTAGTGAATATATCATAATTGAATCATTATATTCGAATAGAATTTTCATAATATACCAAATATAGGTATTTGATTTTCTCTTCACAAGGCAGGAATAACTGAATCATATCACAAAAGTGCTAAGTGTAATTTACTATCATTTTGAGAGGCTTCTCCATGTGGAATACAAAATTCATCGATTGAGTTTACAGATGAAAATTTATAAGTTTATCATCAATCTCTAAATTGAGACATGAATTCTATCAACAATTATTATATCGTAAATGAATATTTTCTTCATTTAACTTATCACGTATATTGCTCGTAATAATATCAAGATTAAGAGTATATGTGTATTTAATGGACTAGAGAATTTATTTTAGATAGTCAATATAAAATATTTATCTCTATTTGGTCCATTCAATACATAAATAACATAATGTACTAACACAAAAAGTTAAAACTATATAGTCCCGTAATCAAGATAGATTACATTTAATTTTGTGCTACAATCATGTCGACAACTTATTGATTTCGTCTTTAATTGTGAATATAAATTTTATAGTTATGAGAACCGATGATTTAATCTTCCATGTATAAACTAAAACCTAATTCACTAAATCATATATTATACAAATAAAGAATACACAAATTCGTATATGACCTATTTAAAACTTGATTAAATTAATAAAAATATTTCATAACAAAAACTCCTTTTATATATATATATATATCTCACACATAATTAATATTATATATCCCAATAATTTTCCACTTGAACTTTTAATTATGATAGTTATTAAAATAAATATTATATTTAAATATTTGATTAATAACGTATATCCCTAACACTTTGCAACTTCAATTTAAGAATTAAACAGTTACAAACAGGAAACAAACTCATAAAGTACATAAAAATGTAGATATAGAACAATCATCGCCAAGCAACATCAAATCAGGGGCGGCTCTATGCATGTAAAAATAAGGCATTTGTTTGAGGGCTTTAATATAAAATTTGTAACTGTCTAGTTTAATACAACTACCTTCAAAAGTTTGCTCATTAAATTCTTAATATCAATTCAAAATCAGACAAACAATTGAAACAAAATTGAAAGAAAAGAAGTTCTGCTTATAAAAAAAGTAGACTTTTTCATTTAAATAAACTAGAAAAATATACTTTAAATAAAAAAAATACATCATCAATTATTATTTCAAAATTTAAGGCCTCCTATTTATTTTTCACTTTAGCTACTGAAATGTCTGTTCAGCCCCTACATCAAATTAATGGTCTATAAAATGAGCTGTAAACTTCATAAATAGATATTATTTTTTAGGGAAAAAAAAAAGGAATGGCTTGAAATTGATGAACCCTACCATGAAAAATCTTCAACCTTGTATTATCAGTTGTCTAAGAAACAGAAAAACAAAGAACATGCAGATATACATCAGACATTTTTTTATATAATAAATGCCTCTAAAAGGGAAAGGAGAAGATCCAAAAGAAAAGCAAAAGTAAATTGAAAATGCCTTAATATCATTATGAGCATATGGAATTTGGGACCCAACCCCAACTAATTTAATCAAAAGATGTGGCTTAGAGTTGCCTGGCCCCATTAAAAATATCTACTTTGTTTCTTATTGATAGATTGCTACTAAAAGTCTAGTTAGGTATTTGTCCGTGTACACTCTATCCTCTTCACGCTTTGTATAAAAGAGAGCGCTATCTATCAAAAATAAAAATCATTCATGTGACTCAAAGTCAAGACTTCTGATTAAGTGTAGAGATCCATTCCATCACATCCTTGGTGGTAACAGTTTTGTTGATATTTGCTTATCCAAATTAATTTGGGATTGAAGTGTAGTTAATTGATTGATCATTTCTTGTCTAATTGACAGGCAAAACAATTTTTGAAACTGCAGGGTCAAGTAGAGGTATCTATCAGTTTTGGTTTTGTATGATATATTAGGTTGTGAAACAGTTTAACATTTCATAATCCAGATAATAGAGAAAAATAAGTAAAAAATTTTGAAGTGAACTGTTCTTTCGGAATTCTTGCTTATGATGTTTCAACATTTCAGTAAGGCATGCTCCATTTTAGTCCCAACATATTAAGAAAGAGTTGACATAACTAGTCAGTAAGATGACAATGCCAAAATAAAGGGTTGCTACTCTCAAGCTTATAGAGCACAAGTGTTTCTATTGATATAGTTTTAGATACTTTAAGTCCTTGTAATGTATGCTTTGAAACACATCAAGGAAAGGAAGAATCTATCTTAAGATCATAAAGATTTCAAGTCTCCAAGAAAAAGAGGTACTAATAGGAAGTGGCTCTCCAAACTAACTTTTGACATTAATTTAAAATATGTTACAACTGTTGGATGAGGATCTAAACAACTTTGTCTTCCTCCTTCTAGTGTTAGCTGTAAAAAGCTATGTACATTTAGAAAACACACAAAAAGTAGAAACCAAGCCAGTCACTAGCTCTTATTGTTACCAAGAAAACTATAAACATAAGTTTCTACAATAGCTTCCCCCCCAGTTTCATTGGATCACTTGAGAGATATTAGCCTCTCAGCTCTGTAAGTGATCTGGTGCGCTGTAAGTATCCATCAGGCAGGAAATCCATGAAGTTGATCAAGTACTTCCCGCTGGAGCTCAATGGGAGAAAAAAGCATTATCTTAGCTTTGTTACTTTTTCATCCTACGGAGATTCATAGGATCATCTTTAGGCACTTTGTTGGAAGGTGATAGATCTAGATAAAGCTGCAGGGTTAGTATGCAATACTGGAGATGTATTGGCTTTGTTGTGCTTGTCATTGCTTTTTGGTTGTAAGGCCTTGAAAAACTCTCCCCTGTTAGCAGAATCATATTTAATCCCAAGTGTTGACCATATAGAACTCTTAGCAGCTTCATCAGGATCATCAATCCGCAATGTTTTTGGGACCAAAATAGACCCCTCTGAATACTTTTGGTCTGATTGTTCTTTGCCCCCAGGATTGCTTGGCTTAAGCAAATCCCCTTCTCTAGAATGCTTCCCTAAAGGCGAAGTAGGATCAGAACCTGATGTTTTCTCGTTTGCTGCTCGCAGAGGTGGACTCAGCCAAGGATTACTCCAAGGAGGCACACTGCAATTCCAATAAGGTGTAGGGAAGAATGGCATAGGGAAGGGAATGGGGCAAATAGCCGACATAGGAACTGCAGCATTCCATGGAAAAGGCCAAGGTACTCCATGGAGGCAAGGAACAGGAGATGGGATGCCATTTATACCATGCATAACAGCCTTGTGGGCCTCTCCTTTACCTTCTTCCACCATCATATTTGGAGTTGGGATGTTAGACCCCCTATAGCACTCATCCCCAGTATCTCCCCCTTTGCAAGAAGAATTGTTGACTTCTGATTTGTGAGAACCATTTTGGATACCATTCGATACCCTTTTCTCTGCTTGATTTAATGCAGAAGCCATAGGTTCACACAGGGGTATGTCGGGACCAAAGGATAGAATAGTGCCATTTGGTTTGAATATTGGATGATGAATTAATCCATTTGGAGATTCAATTCCTGCTGCTAATAATCCTTCAGGGATACTTATATGACGATATTGAGATGCAAGATTCTTGTTCTTGCGACGACCAGCTCCCACAGGGAGATTCCTCATGGTTCCACCGGCAGTCCAATACCTCTGGCAGCTCCTGCAGAAATGACGAGGCTGGTTGACATTGTTGTTATTATAGTAACAGAATTTTGTATCCGAACTATTGCAACGAGGGCATGGGAGGATTTTGTCTGGCTTCTTCAGATTGTTCTGCTCAGAATTTGACACATTAGTTGGTTCATTCCCAGTCTCGGATGATTTTACTGCTTGAGGGTCTTCCTCAGTTGAAGATTTAGGACTGCTCTCTGATTCTGATGGAGTCTTAGTATTTTCTGATTCCTCCATCATCTGATTTTGATCTCCCTCCTCAGATTTAGCTTCACTGAGCTCTCCAGATATATCATCCTAAAATCAAAACACAAAACTGCATAAGCTGCTTATGAAATTGCAATTAAATATCTATAGTAAACTGTGTGAGCTAAATCCAATCAGCACAATAGCAAGAATCAATCACAGACAGTAAACTGACAAGTTCGAAACTTTTTTATAGATCGAGGATCCCTCTTCAACTATGATAAACATGAAAAAGTACACAAAAGCACATTCTTTCTCCAACGTTTTGGCTACAAATTAAATGGTAAAGGGAACATTAAATGCATATATTATGATGCTGAAATATCAAATTTGATGCTTTGTATCCTCAAATTTATCAATAATCCCTAAAACTAAGAGGGCACCAAAAGAACATTAAGCAGTGCCAGATCTAGAACTTCATATGGTTGGTGGGGCTTTCTGAATTAAACCACTTTCCAGAGAACACACATTAAAAATTCATTAACAATAAGCAAAAAGAAGAAGCAAAATCACCAATTAGACAAACAAGAACTGATCCATTTCTTCTGTTAAATCTAAGTAATTAGCAGCAAATTACCAAACCCATTAAAATTAAACGATTAACTCATTTGGGTCTCACTTTAATTCCATAGAAATTACATAAAGAAGTACCTTTTCAGCTTCTTGCTTTTCATACTCAATTCCTTCATCTTTCTCTACACTGCTTGCTTTACTTCCCTCTAAACATCGATCAAGATCAGACCTATTTCTATTTCCCTCATATCTAACACCATCACTACCAGACAAACCCCTACCGGCGCCGGAGACGACCACTGGAAGTATCTTGCCAAACAGCTTGATCTCTGAATCACAAGTCATTTTCCAGACTAAAACGAAAAGGAAATTCAACAAAATGAAAAGGGAAACTGTAGAAACACTCTACTATTCTAGAGATTCTCTTTTAATACCCGACAAAGTCGCCGCCGGCGAGTTGACGACGATTCAAAAGTGGATTTTTTTTTCTATGAGAGATACGGTTTTAGAAGCAAACCCTGTTGGCGTTCTATTGAAAGTGATTTAGATATCGTTTAATTTAAACATGGTGCCAGGTCACCCACCCACTAATTTTTTCAGCCACAAGTTTTTAATGGTGGGGTCCTGCATATTAATTTTATTTTTTTCGTTTTCTCCAAATCAATTTTTCGTTGTTATTCGAATTGTAGTAATTTTTTATTGTTTAAATGAAATAAAGAATTATAGAAAAGTATTACTCCTAGTCACTAGTTCAATTTTTTAATATGAGAAGTTGTACTTTTTGATCCGTTGAGAAAAAGGTAGAGACTTTATAACATAGTTGGAGAGTCTTTGATACTATTAAGTTTACAATTTATTTTAATGACATGATTTTAAGAATAATTTTGATATTTTGTATATAATTTTATTTACGATAACAATAACATACCTAGTGACTAGTATAATTTGAGAAAGGTGATAAGTAGTGTATACATAGTCTTATTTCTATCTTGAATATATGGATGTTATTTCTAAAAGAATCTCGTCTCAATAAAAAATCAAGTATAAAAAGCAAATACATTAATAAAGAAGTCATGCTGAAAATAACGAAAAAGAAAATAATAGCAACAACAAAAACTACAATATAAAATGAAGCAAAGAAAATACAAGTATATTAAAATCAAAGAATGTGATGATAGAAAGTAATAATAACCAAACTTATTAGAGAACTAGCTAGACAACACTCAACTACCTAACTAAGCTTCTATTTTAATCCTTTATCTCCATATTTTTTTTTTATCTATGGTCATATCCATAATAAGTCGCAGGTGAATCATGTCTTGTCTAGTCACATAATTTCAATATTTTTTCAATCTACTTCTACTAGCGTTCATTCAATCATAATGAATCTCTCAAAAGCCAGTAAGTCACACATTTTTGCTAGGACATTGATATATCTTCTTTTCATATGTTCAAACCACTCAATTCATTTCAATTTTCAACTAACTTTTACATATATTTGCTTATACACAAAATATTTTCTTCTTTATTAAACTTCATAATTGCTCAAATATCATCATATATTATAAAATAAATAAATTATTAAATCATAATTTATTTAATTTTTTAAGCTTCGAGTAAAAAAAAATTATTTGACTCCTCAATTAAAAATAATTTAAATTTTATATACTACTAACATATGAATTTTGAATTAAGTTGATATAAGTAATACATATATGATATATAGTGTAAATTCTCAGAAAATTGTAAAAAAAAAAATATGTAGAATATAACTAGTGAATTTATCTCGAGTTTCCTACTGATTAGACTTTCAAATATTAATTTTCTTAATTCTTTAGTTTTCGAAGTAAAATATTCCAAATTTTAACCAATTTCATAATGAACGCTTAATTTATATAGTTCTATAATTTATCACCACTCCAAAGTTTTTAGTCTTTATTGTATATATAGTATATGTACAACAGTACAAGTGAAACTATTTTTTTTTCTTAAAATAAAGTAAAGAAATACAGAATTTCAGAAAAACAAAACGTTGTATTTTGTGTGTGTGTGTATATATATATACATATATATAAAAAAAACAATTATTTCTTCTACATCTGTTTTTTTTTTTTTTAATGTATATACCAGTATCGAATGGTAAGAATCTGTTGTGTAGTTTTTATCTTATTTTTTCCCTTTGTTGTCCACTTTTAAACCTTTTTATCTTTAACTTTTTCCTTTGTTCTTTTTACTTTTTCTTTTTTATCTTTCTTGCTTTCCTACTCAATCACTCATTTTCTTTTTAGAAAATCAGATTTTAATCTGTTTCACCTTTAACTTCCTAACAATGAAAAATCAAATAATCAAAAGATAAAATCTTAACATAAACTATAACAACTACAACAACAGCATGGATCCATTTGAATATAGGAAGATGATACAAACAAATAAATTCAACTAAGATAGAATATCTAATATAATACATAATGTCATGAGACAAATTGTGATTAAGAAAAATACAAAATAAAAATAGTAAAAACTTGTTTGACATTAATGTTAAAAATTTCTTATCTTCGAAATTATTTTTTAAAAGTATATTTTTAGAAAAAGTGTTTTTGATAAAAAAATAAAATAATAATTTATGTTTGGTTAATTCATTGAAAAGTGTCTTTCATAAGCAAATTGTGTTTGACGAATCTTTTTTCAAAATTCTTTTGAGAGTCAAATTACGAAAATGTGTAAGTATCATTACTTTTAGGGCTCGTTTGGTGTGAGGGATTAGAAATAATAGTGATGGGATAAGGAAATAGTGATGGGATAAAAAAAAATTATGTTGTTTGGTTGGTAAGTCCGGGATAACTTATCCCGGGATTAATAATTAGTACCGGGATAAGTTATCCCTCCCCATGGGTGGTATAGTAATCCCGGGATAACTTATCCGAGATAAAATAGGTAAATGACAAATATGTCCCTTTAAATCCTTTTTATACATCATTTTTTACATTTTTTTTAATACCATGTATAATAATATTTACTACTCCTTATTTTTATGATAATTATACATATTTTTCTATTAAAAAATTATACTATATAAATATAATTTTTATTTATGAATTTATTTGACTAATTCTTATGTTTATTTTATTTTGATTTCTCATAAATTTTCTTCTCTTTAATAAACTTAAGAGGGAAGTTCTATTTTTAAGCTAAATAAGAAAAAAAGTTATATTTTTAAATACACATGGTACTTATCATGGGAATACATAAACAAAAATATTTAAGTTAAATAAAATAAAAGTTTTATTTTAAAAAATGAATAACTAAAGCTCACAAAGAAATATTTAAAAAGTTTAAATAAAGTGAAGGGTAATTTTGTAAACAAACAACTTGTTCTTAAAATTTATCAATATATATTATTTTGAATATAACAAACCAAACACTCAATAAGAAATAATCTCAGGACAACTTATCCCAGGACAACTTATCCCAACATAACTTATCCCATCATAACTCATATTCAAACCAAACGACCCCTTAGTAATAAGATCATTTTATAGAGAGGAACTATTTTAAATATCTATTACAAAAATAATAATTTCATTTTTATTAAATTAAAATCTACTTATTCAAAATTTTAATCAATATTATACCCTTTTTAGAGGGATGAAATCTTTTAAAAAAAATATCTTTTTTCTAATCTTGCAAAAATATTGTTATTACCTTTTTTTCTAATTCTGCAAAATAATGTGTAAAATAACAATACATAAATGTAAAATAAAAAATAAATGTATTATATAAAAATAAAAGTAAATTTTAAAATGAAACTTAACCAAACTCATGAGATGTGCTAATTAATTTATAAGAGATATATTGGTAAATATGTACATATGAACGAGATATTTCCTTCTTCGGCTTCTGCTTTTTTTTTTTTAATAAGAAACATAAATTTTTAATTTCTTTCAACAACATTAAAATTGTTTCTTCTTTCATATAAAAATAATTTTAGTGATTTGCCAAACACCTAATTTTTCAAAAAAATACTTTTTCTCAAAATAAATAAATAAATACTTCTGACCTCCCATCGACACAGCCAATCCGGCTCTAAAGTAAAGATCAACATTCTTCCTTCGATTTCTCCGTCTTTTTGCACATAGTACATAAGCATATTCCAGCCTAACATTGAATAATTGAAAACAAATCAACTAATATATTTAAATAACTACATATACTTTACCATATGTAATTATTTAAACTACAAAGTTGAAGAATTTCTCCATCTGCTTACAATAATAAGATCTGCATCACAGATTCACAATGAAATATGAAAGAAGATAAAAAGTATAGATATTAATATGTATTAATTACTCAATTTAATTGGAGATTTAAAATTATAGACATCATGCCTAGCTTTATATTCCCTTCGTTGCAATTTAGTTGACATGTTTTATATTTTGACAATAGAATTTTAAAAAATAATTTTTATTATATCAATATAAAAAATTATAACTTATAATATACTTTATAAACTTATTAAATATTTAAATTTTAATTATAAAAAATTAATTGAGTTAATTCTCGAAAAGTAAAAAAATTGTATAATTAATTTGGGACAGATAGATATATAGATCTTTCCTTGTCTGACTCCTGGCCCATCTTTGTTCTCAGATCTCTCAATAGAGTCGATAGTGGTGTTGTTATGGTGCACCGTGGACTGTTCAAAGAGCTCGTTCGGTACGCGGAATATTTTAAAATTAAATTTGAGATAAAATTTATTTTATTTAAATATTTTATTTTATTCTATCAAATGTAAGATAATTTAAATTTTAAATTGTAATTTACGAGATAATTTAATTCGCGAACAAAACAACCCCTAAATGTCTATCAACGTGTCTGAATTTAATTGCCTGATGGAGGATATAGTTGCAATTAACTAATTCCTTGAAGCTTGAAAGCAATGGTATATAAAGAGTACATATAATGAGAGGATAAGAACAATGGAAAGTTTAATCAATTTGATCCTCTACTTTTGCATTTTGTTTAATATTACATTATGCTATTATCTCCTCCACTTCTTCTTTTTTCCCTCTGCCATTAATTATGTTATATATGTTTTTGGTTGTGTTGTTTACATTTCATCGTTTTTGACTATTTGTAGACTTTGTAGTACCAAAAATGTCTAATGCACGTTGATTCATCAATTATAATTTATAAAACGATTCATAGTACTAACTCATTAGTCTAATGCATATTGATTTAGAGAAATTATATATAGTTTTTTGTACGAAATTATACCTAACTTTTTAAAATCAAGAATATAATATTAATTACTCATCAACACTTTTGCTATAGATTTTTTTATTTATTAAATAAATTTTCAATATCTCTATCATAGACTGTTTCTAATAGACATACGTGTCGATGCCTCCATTACCGATAAGAAATATATAAAGTATGAATAAGGTTTGAAGTTTTTCTTTTCTTTTTGTAAAACATTGAACAGAAGATTTTTTTAAAAAAAAATAAAAATTGTCACACA